TAAATCAAAGTATCAAGCTCAAAAATGATAGTTATTTTTATCAATCGAACGCTTGGATGAGTTCCAATGCCTCTTCGTGCGACGCATTTCCTGCAAAATCATAAAGCGCACGCATTGTTTTCATTTATTCTGTGAGTTGTTAAGTCTAGAACTATTCATGAACTTTTTCAATTCCTTTTACAAGGAAAAAAAACCAGTAAAGGTTAAAAAGCATATAAATGAATGACTGCAATAGAAAAGATTTATAAATATTTATAGAGATTTCAAAACTTTTTTTAAAAAAAAGCTGTAAATAAATGATAGAACAACTGAAACAAATTTCGACAAGTTCATTTTGATAAAAGTTAAAATACAATCTTTTTTAATCGAAGATAAAAAAACAAAAACAAGTATCGTTGAAATTTTTAGAATACTACCTACATAAAAGAAAAATATAAGGTAATGCGTGGAAACTTCAAAGCCAATAAGTTTTGCTCGCTCACAAGCTTATATTAAAAGTTTCTATTCATTTTTATAATTATTTAACATGAATTGTCGGAAATAAAGCTGTTAACCGCATTCAAAGAAAAGGTGGAGACATATGCACCTCCGCATCATTTTTTACAGTTTTAAAGTAAACGAAATAATTTCAATATAAACGAAAACATGTTATAGTTTATTTTTAAAAATTATCTTAAAATTTCACGTTTTAAAAGAAAAGTTTCGTCAAACCACTTTCTAGTAGTTTTGTTTTCATATCTTACTCATTTTCAACATTTCTTCTTAAAGAGGTATTAATTAAAATGAATGCAATTTCTCCAGTGCATTCCATAACAGTTTGTTACACTGTAAATTCCATTATAATTATTACAAATACCAGAGCAGTCTCGGCACGTTTAGGACAAGGTTCAGACCGTTCCTAGACTAATGAATATTGAGAAGAAAAAATTTTTAGCGTACATCAGCTCTTTACCAAATCTGAATCCTTGCTCAAAATCAAATAAAGATTAACCTTGAATATCAAATGTTGTCTGAACTCTTATTTCTCGTACTAACTGAGGGTTATCATATCCAATATTGCTAGATAGGTCATGGTCAAGCTACTGAACAGTTTTCAAGTAATTGAATTTCACACATTATGTTGGCATACCACTATTCAAAATCAAGGATTGATTTCACTTATTAGTTATTGACATACAATAGCTAACTTTATGCATCTGAATAGAATATCTTCTCTTTATCAATGTTAGCGTTTTTCGTTTAAAAAAAATTAATGTTACCAAGAAAAAATATGAAATAAGGCATTTTTCAGTGAAATTACGTTTCTATATCTACTAATTTCAGTTTCAATTAAAATAACTTTTTGATTTAAAAACATGTGCATAATTTTATGCATTAGAGTTCAACTTTGCATATAATTTATCGAACGCCATAACTTACATTTAAAAACCAAACATTTTTTTAAAAAAATGAAAAAAGAACTATTGGCTAACAACCAGAAGATGCAACTACACAGTGAAGATATTGCCAATTTGCGGAAGAATGCTATCAGTAGTAGCAAATGATCCATTGTTATTCAGGAGTGTAAGCGTTAACAAGTACAAGGTGTTCTACAATGATCACCCTTTAAGTATATATTTAATATCCCTGTAAAATGATGCTAAAAAAATATAAACACTTGGTGTCTCAATTTAATATATAAACAAGAAGAAATAAACAAAAACGTCACGTATCCAAATAAGACAAATCACAATTGTGTACAGCGGGTGAAAAAACATTTAAAATCTGATTGCCAAAGAAAACAGAGGAGTTGAAAGACGATTATTAGAAACATATTCAGTTTTTATAGGCCTTCATCAAGTGTTTTTTTGTTGTCAAATTTTTGTTGCGTCCACATTTACTTTTTTGTCAAGAAGGACTGTAAAAATAAATATTACAATTATCCATGACGGAACAGCTGTGAATATTTTTTTACAATTGCGAAATGTATAAGTATTTTAGTATAACTAAATTACATTATAAGTATCTTAGATATAACTAAAACTTTCTTGACAATATTTAAAATCTTATTGCATAATGTTATTCTCTACTACTCAGTGTTCAAAAAAAAGATTTCGTACAATTTCGCATACAGTATATACACAGGATCAAGGGAAATAGAAAATATAAACTCCAAATAAAATACATTGCTTTAGTGGTCATTTAATAGAAGAGGATAAGTAATTGTTTTTTGTAACATTTGTTAAATTATGTTATTTTTATGTATAGCTTATTATTCATACATCTCCTGATAATAAAGGTAAATGCAACTAAATTTCTTTACCGTGACTTTAAAAATTTATTTAGCAACACTATCTTTAAAAAAAGAGAGATTAATTAACCAGAATGAATTACAGTTTATTTCATAAATTCAAAAAGAAACTTAGTGAATTAAAAAAAATGTCATCTTTTGTTTAAGATGCATGCCAGATATTTACTGAAAATAATTTTTTAAACTAATAGTACAAAAGACCACATTTGCAATAATAAAACTTAACATTATATCCAGTCCAACATTTTATAATTTTTTTTTGTTATACTTATAGACTTATTTGTCAGAAAAGTTCTTAAAAGTTTTCCTATTCGGTCAACTCATAAAAGGGTTTAAGTTAATGTTTAATACTATTTCAACAATTCAGATAAATACTAATAAACATGCATGTGAAATTTCCAGGAGAAAAAAAAATTTCTGTCCAACTTATAAAAAGTTTAAGTTAACATTTTGTAACACTCCCAGACAAATTTGATTTATTTCAGAGATTAACGTACACGATAGAATGGTGGTCAGGTTACCAAAGTTTTGCTCTTTTTTATTTTATAACACAAATTTTATGAGGTATAAAATAAAATCTTATAATGGAGACCTTAATAGATTAATAAGGGTATATAAAATCTAAAACAAAGGAGATCAACTTGACAAGTTTTTCGACATTATATTAAAAAAAACTATTTGGATTTTAAATTTTTTCCTCACATTTCCCTTCGCATCTAATTTTCGAAATTATACAAAGACAATCTGGATCAAAGAAAGAAATCTGGAAAATAAATGATACATAAAAAGCTTCAAAATTAATTTAAGATGACAAAATTTTTTTAAAGATAAAAACATGAATCAAAATAGCAATTTTCCAACTAATAAAAAAAGCAATTTAGAAAACAATGTGAATTATTTAAAAACTAATTATGTGATTGTTCAACCATTTTGAACACAGTGTTTTTATAAGAAATAATCATTTACAGAATAGGAAAAAAAATGTTTATTGAAAATTGATTTATAACAAGATAACACATGTGATAACATTCTTAAATGATTGTCACAAATAATTGATTTAGTAGTTCATTATACAAACCATTCTAAATAAATTTTTAATGAATAAAAATTCATGAATAGGATAAAATATTATCCTTTGTATTTCTTTAACTCTTTTTTTTCCCATTCTTATTTTTTAGAATTTTTTCTGCATAAATTATGATTCTTTCCCAAATTTTATTAAAATAGCATGAAACATACAATTTTACTGCCAAGTATAACTAATTTTAAATTCCTAACTAATTTTAGAACTGATTTTTTAAATAGTTGATAAAAAAATTAAAAAATCCAATAATATTGAATTTAAACTTTTAAGATCTTTTATTATATTATTTTAACTACAAAAAATCAAATCAATCTAATTCAAGCTGTATTAAAAAGAAATACATGTTTAAATTTTTTCTACGCAATATTTAGATAAAGTGTTAAAAGCTGGGTTAAAATTCATTTAAAAAAGCTTTTTAAAATAAAATAATGCTATTTTACCTACAAACATATATATTTAATATCTTTAACAACCCTCTATGTGCTTTTTTTAAACTATTTCAAAACAACATAAACTAAAACATCATTTAATTTTCATCTTGCAATTAATTTATCCAAAATAATTTTTCATTTTTCTGAATTTTCAATTTTGCAAACATGAAAAATAATACACTTACAACCAATACAACACAGAATTACACCACATTTTTATGATAAATACAAAGCAATCACCTAACTTAAAACGCAAATAAAAATGGTACTCATTTACAATCAGTTCAAAAGACAATTTCAAATAAATAATTTACAATGAACATTAAAACAAATGAAAGTTTAGTTGTAATAGGCAGTTCTCGAAAATGAATTCATCACTTTGAGGAAACATGTACAATAAATGGTTTCATGTAAAAAAAATACAGGATATAGTTATTTAAAAAGTACTCTTACATTAAAAATATTGCAACATTTTTCAAAATTCAAGAACATATATTTGATGATTATTTGTCTCAGATATCAACATAAAATTAGTAGGAAAAAATCTTAAAAAATGGTTAGCATGAAATACATCTAAATTGTTACAACTTTTTATGTTTTTAATTCGTTACAAAAAAAATTCAAGTTTTGAACCTTATTTGATACACTGCCATGTTAAATTTTTTATGACATATTTTGATTCCAGTTTTATTCAAATTTTATTCTTAAATAATATCAAATTGCTTTTACCCTATTTTTAAGCAAATTATGTATTCATATTTTCCATAAGACATGAGTTAAAGTAAATTTCTTAAATTTTTGCACAGCTAAAACTATTAATAGAAGAAAAAAATAGTGGCTAATTTTTCTTTTAAATATACGATTGTAAAAAAAATTAAATTTTTATATCATTTTCTAAATCCTTTAGTTAAAAGCCTAGGATTTAAAATAAAAAAAATCATTATAAGGCAACAGCTTGAAAAGTGTGTAAAATTTGAGTAGGAATTATTTTAAAGTATTTCTTCTAAACAATTGTAAACATAGATGTTCCTTACATTGTTATCAACCTCAATATTAAAGGCAAATACATATTAGGCTGATAATCTTTATTATTGGCAACCTTAATTTTCACATTTTTCCATCAGAAAAATAAAAAACTTGCCTCAAAATTTTGAACAAATAATCAAGTGACGCTCTTGAATAATTCTCTCAAATCTTACAACGTGATGTATCACATTTAATTTAAAAACGTAATTAGATAAAGAATCTGAAAACACGTTTAAATTTTTTTTTCTCATTTTTAAACAATATTTTTTAATACAACATATCAAGCAAATATTTTGAAAATAAATAATTTTACCCTACTAATATTAAGCTTTGCAAAGATTACTTTAATACAATTTGTAGATAATCTATAACATTAAAAATACAAATAAAAAAAATTTCACTCCAGGAAAAATATGAAATTTAAAAAAAAAAACAGTCACAAAAATTTCTTAAAATTTAAAAATTAGAAAAACAACAATTCTACAGGCATATTTTGAAACTAAAGCATTCCATGTTGAAAGCATAATCACAAAATACAGGGAACAAATAGGTAATCAATTTTCGTTCCCACCATTATCACACTGGGTATATTTATGTACAAGTTCTATTTTTATGTACAGGAATGACGATAAGCATCCATTCTGAGATTCTAAAGTGTTTAATATCATTGATTACCATTTTCGATGTGAATGTACTCTTTCCGAGCAGAACATTTAATTTTTATCTGGCCAACCAAGTAACAGGCCATTCCTGTTAGTAGGAATGCCATCAGGATGTTTATTTTGACAGCAACAGAAAGGTAATTGGCGTATGAGTAACTTAGGAAGAATCCAAGAAAACTCCAGAAATATAAATTGGAAAAGGCGGCTTCTCTATCGTTTGGAAACATCAATCCGTAGAGAGCTGCAATTAAAAAAAGAAACACATTAAAAAAAAGAACACAATAAATGAAATCAAATACAAATGTATACAAAAATGCATACATATCTACAAGTACAACGCGCAAATAAAAAAAAGCTGGTGATTGAATTTTCACTTACGAGGACTCGATCTTAAAGGTACAAGTGCGTGAATATCAAATATGCTAATTAATTTAGGCAGATGATATTTTAAATTATGATATCAAGACACAAAAACGTACTTTCTCTGAATAAGCATACCGATTTTTCGATGAATTCGGATTTCTGACCCTCCCTTTTGAAAAACTTGTACTTTTAAAATTCGATTTCTTAGAAAGTATTCGACCGATTTCAATGAAATCTTGTATTTTGTCATTTAAAATTGCATTCTTTAAAAAATTGAATGCTTTGCAATTCGAAAGTTTTTAGACTATTATTAAATTAAATAATAAAAAAAATTTACTGAAATCTATATTTTGCATGAAATTATCTTTGGATAATTTCACACAAAATATAAATTACGTATTATGTTTTGCATGACTATTGTGTACAAAAAGCTTTCAATTCGCTTATGAAATTCTCGAGAGAGGATGAAATACGCAAAAATTAAGATTAACATTAAAGGATCCAAAATTTAGACAGTTTTCTAGACTAAACTATCGGGATCATATTTCCCAGGTTGCAGCTATCCCCCTATATTTTGAAATTCAAAAATCCAAATCGTGGAAAAATAGGTGTCAATTCATAGAGAGTACGTTTTTGTGTCTGATTTTGTAACTTAGAATACAGTCTGCATCAATTAATTAGCATATTTGAGGCTACCGCCTTGAACCATTAAGATTGAGTCCTAGAACGTGAAGATCCGATCTTTAGGACGCAAAATTTACGTAGGGTGGTCCGTTTATTGATTTGCGCATTGTGCATGCAATAATAGAATGTTTCGTAATCACCACACTTACTATAGATTTTTTTATCTATAAAATATTAAGTAAAAAAAAATAATTGCATTAAGAGATAAAATTCTGTATTTTAGTGAAAGAAAAAATATGGCGAATCATTATCGAGATTAACCAATGTAATGGGTTTTAAAGCCTCAAAACAAAACTTTTTTTGTCCGGTGAAACTGAAAAGCGTTTCTAATTATTGCATTTCACCTCTTTTTAAATTTCAAATCATAATGAAATTTATTTTAATGTATCAAATGTCCCTTTTATTGAAATAAAACTCGTTAATGGTTCGTTTCATTATGAAGTCTTTTTTTTTTTTATTTAAATATAGATGATTTTAAGTGTGATATATCATTGTTAAAAAGGAATCTAAAATATACATGTAAGTCGCGAGATTTTTGATAATTACCGTACTGTAGCTCTTTGATAAAAATTTTGTTTTGAAATTTAAACTAACCTTAATCTTTTATTTAACTTCATAATGTAACAAATTTTTTCGCAAAATGTTTAAAAGATGGCTAACTTATAAATTGATGTAAGTTTGTTACAAAAAGGAACCCACTAAACATGTATCGAATGATTCTTCGTCACAGATTCCTCAAAAAGGATTCTATTAAAATGTAACACGAAGAGCAATAAAAAGTGAACTGGCAACAGGAAGGAAAAAAACGTATTTCTTCATACTTTTGCTAAAAATAACATTTCATTACCGTTCCATGTTATTAGTGATTGTTTTTGTGATTATGTGTATAGAAAATTATAGTCAAATTCTATTCCCAGATTCTAGCTAAGAAATTTCTCTTTGTTTGTAATATTTCTCTACATCAGAAATTTATCTATATATTTCACTATTAGAAAACTATAGTTCGCGTCTATTTTCAAATCTTATGTTTTTATTTTAAGGGAAGAAAGAGAGAAAAAAAAAAGATTGATTTATAGATAACATTTCATTTCGTGCTTAAGAAACGGAAATTTGGAGAGGTTATTGCAAAAAGGGAATCATTCGAAAAAATATAGTCAATGTTTCAGCCTATGCATTCATTTGGAATTTTAAAACTACTTCCAATAATTTCGAGGTACGATTTTTCTGTGTTCTTTTAACTTAGGTTAGAAAGAATAAAATACTCAGTTGAACTTGTAAGCGTCTTTTAAATAAATCGAAGCTTCTCTAGGTAGAATTGAACGATAAGCGTGTTATAACAAAGAAAAAAAAATCGTTGGAAAAACTTCATTGACAATTTGAGACAAGTGCAAAAAGATGAACATCACTATCTTATAAAAAGTTAAACATCTTAACACCTTGCGTTACTGCATTTCAAAATCGAAGGCTTATTTTGCATTTATTTACAATATCAAACATTTTATAATAGGACAGGATATAATAGGACAAGGTCGAAATTTAATAACTCAGACATTTCCATTTGTATCATCAAATTTTAAGTGTAGTTTCAGTTATTTAATAATACATAGTGACTCAAAATTTTCAGCTTTTAAAAAACTAATCTAATCCTTTAATGAGTAATTAATTCTAACTTGTAAGAAATGTGATCCTTTCAAAGCTCTATGATTAAAAATTAAGTCCCAATTCAAGAAAATATTCAGCTTTTGAAATATCAATTAAATTAAAGTTTTTATTAAATAAAAATGCATGAAAAATATACATAATTAAATTGCTAGAACAAAATTTAATTTGAAAATAATATTGCTTCAAAATTTTACTAAATGATATTACTTATGCGGCAAGTTATAATCTTTCCTTATACACGATAATTCATTATTATCGCATTTACGATCAGTTTTTGGAATGTTTGTAAAACATGTAGTAAAAAAAATAACAATTAATCTAAACAACTATATGCAAAACACGTTATAAACATCTTATTACCCGTTATTCAAGATGATCTAAAGCATGATTTAAGAAATCGAATTAGAGTTTATTTACAATATGAACAATACAAAACGTTCACTAATTATTAATAACCGATTTTCAGCATTATTAAACAAAAATAATTAATTCCTTTAGTCCTTTCTTTTCTATAGTTGACCTTTATATATTAGCCCGATTTTTTTCGTCGTCTAAATATTAATTTGAGAGCCCAAGTGGATACATATATTTAAATTTAATTGATAAAATGTCTAAAAAAATTACAAGTGGTACTGTAATAATCAGCCTTATTGTGCATTTATAGAATCCTTGTTAAAATTTAAGTCAAAAAAGCTTGCGCATTAAAGCTCGCAAATTGATATTTGAGCAAAGAAAGAACTTGATGGCTGATGAATGCAGGACTGAAATCATTAAAACCTGTTTGATTTTATTTTATTTTATGACCGGCGTCGAACAGTCGACCCGACTCTGAGTTTACGACTATCAATGCTCAAATGCGTATCCTTTTAATTTTAAAGCCAACTCAGAAGAAAATGAACTCTTAGATCGAATACTAGGACAAACTACCCCTCTTGAAAAATATTTTGGATGAAACTAACCCGCATTTGCGTTACAGAGAGAGGAAAACCGTGAATTGATTGATTGAATGTAGGGTTTGGTGGCACAAGGTCCAAATGAAGACATGCTGCGCCAAACAATATGGTGAAGGAAAAACTGTGAAACGTCTCACGGTCAGCATAACGGCAAGGTGATTCTAACCCATAATCCGTCTGCCACTGAGGATATCTTATGTCAGCATTGTGATCGGTGCCAGCCGGGAGCAGAATTTGTCTCAACCAGCCACCACCGGGATTCGAACCTGTGTCACCTCATTTTGAGAAGAATGCTCTATCCCCTGAGCTACCACGGCTAAATTCCTATTGATTGTCGGGTGAAACAGAGATGAGTAAAAGCACTAAATTTCATCAAACAGAATTGATTTCGATGTTTTTTCATCCCATCCTCTTCACTTACCACCCATCGGATGCCTAAGCGTTATGCGAGGCAAGTTAACTGATCGGATACCTAAGCATTATTCGAGGCAAGGTAACTATCGTACATAAAAGAGTGCTATCAAGGAATGTCATACTAATTTTAAAGAGTTCATATCAGTTACAAAGATGCAATATCGCAAAATTAACAATTATCTCACCTGATATTTGTGACCACCAAATGGCATCACCCATTCCCCAAACTCCTGCTATGATGAAGTAAATGCTAGTTGTCTCTGGCGTCGGATCCCACAGGAATAACAGCACACAAATACCTATATTAGCACACGCTGCTAAAATCAGGACGGCCATCTGAGAGATATATTTCACCAAGGGTCCCACAAGTAGAGACATGATTGCACCGCAGACGCCGAAACAGATGGTGACAAAACCGACATGATGAACACCCCAAGAGCAAGCTATGTATGCCTGGAAAAGAAAATGAAACATCAAATAAAGACAGATAAACGCTGACAAATATACAGCGTGCAAATTTTAACAATCAGCAAACTATCGTACATCTTGTTAAAATTTATGTTCTGTATATTTACTGCACTTCTAAAAGAAAAGTCATATTAAAAACAGAACAATACTGGCAAATATACAGCAAATAAATTTTAACAGTCTGCAAACTATCACACATGTCAAAAATTTATTTTCTGTACATTTGCTGTACCTCTAAAAGAAAAATATAACAGCAGAATATACAGAGCGTAAATTTTAACAATTTGTAAACTATCGTACTTATTGTTAAAATTTACGTTTCGTATATTAAAAGTAAAATAATACAAAAGCAGAATAATGCTGACAAATATACAGTATATCAATTTTGACAATTTGCAAACGATCCGACTTATTGCTAAAATTTGCGCTCTGTAATATTTGCTATATCTCTAAAAGAAAAATCGTATTAAAGCAGAGTAGTACTCGTAAATATACAGCATATAAATTTTTAACAATCTGCAAACTATTATACATTTTGTTATAATTTATGTGCTTTATACTTGTTGAACTTGTACTTCTTACTTAAACTTAATCATACGAAAGCTTGGTTCAAGTTAAACCGAAATATGGTTTAACACCTTATAAAAATTGCCACAAATTTGCACCTCATTATGGTTCAACATAATGTAATGGTTCAACATAGAACCGAATTTAATAAGTAGCCAGTGAGTATTTTCCGGTCGATGAAAAGTTATAAAATGAAAACCTTATTGCAAAAAAATGAATTATAAGTAACCAAAACAAGTGCTTACATATCCTTGAGGGAGCATCTTTAATAGTTTTTCGCTTTAAGTTTTTAACAAAGATTTTAATTTAAATTCTTTCGATTTTTTTCAGGAAACATAGAAAACATAGATGTCTTAAAATAAACATTTTTAACATGTTCACTTTTTCAATTGAATTTAACTTTATGAAAAGCAACCTGGAATCAGCTATATTGAACTAAACGTCAATTACATAAATTTTAAGTAAGCTGATTTAAATGGTATTAAACGTAAATTAGTCTGCCGGGGGCTAAAAATGAGGGCTTGGTAAAATCACTGTGGTACCTCGAGTATTTGGAGACCTGTTGTGCTTATTTTTATTGTTAAATGTTTCCAAGTAGTGTGACTATTTGGAAAATTCTTCAAGAAAATGCTGCTTTCGGATATTTTCAATGCCCGGGTAAATGTTTTTTTTCTGTTCCCTGTTTAAAATAACATACTTGAAACGTTTCGATCTGATTTTGAATTAAAACGCCACAATTTAGGTATGCTAAAAATAGTACTACACCGCTTACAAGGACTGTAAAAATTTAACTATTGATGAGTGAAGCTTAATTAATTATGTTAATAGATAATACTGGTATTTTAGTAATAGATACTGTGGTATTAGATTTTTACGGCCTCCGCAAAAAGAGTGGTACCGAAAATTTATTATTTCGATATTAATTGAAAAATGCTGTTGCCACTAACGTTTATTTAATATGTCCTGCTTCACAAATTAATAAAAAAGAATTGAAAAAAAACCCAGTTATTTGAATAATATATTAAAGTAAACATATTTTGATATTTTAAAATCGAATCCATTTTTTCGAAGGAATTTTATCGTACCATTTGAGTTCAATAAACGTCTTATGATACCTCAACTGATTAAATTTGTATATAAGAATGCAGTCATAAAAGCAGACGACGCAGTCTAGCTGTAAATAAACATTTAAAAATAGTTTTCTGCAATTCGAACAAAATAAAAAATAAAGATAGCCAATTCCTCTCGCTTGTCAAAAAAGAAGAAATTGACGAATACTAAGAATTTTAATTCACTTCCAACCTTGGGGAAAATGTTCTTTTTTTCGATCACGTTCCACGTCGGTGATGCGAAAATATTAACCCCGTGACTGAGTTATTAAAAAAAAATATAGAATCGGCTGTCATGTGACCATGAATCATTACATAAACAATGCGCCAAATGTGACAGGATTTCAACCGCCAGGAACAAGAAAACAGCTGTTCCTCAAAACACCGTTTTGTACAAGAATAATTAATAACTTCAAAAAAGATAAAACTAACAAAACTGTTTGTTTACGTTCTATCAAAACTTTAAATTCAGCAGACATATAAAACAAAAATACAACGGCGAAAAACTTAACAATAAATCAGTAGGAGGAAATATATTTGTTTTTTTTCGTCCTCAAACTAATGCATTTTAATCTTTTTAAGGACGAAATATCCAGTTTAAACCAGATAAAACCGAATAAAACTTGAATAATGACATTGACCTGTTATTATTAAGATACACAGTAACAATATTTACTTGTCACGTAATTTATTTGTTATGAATAAAATTTAAATACGTAAGTTTGATAATATAGATAGCCATTAAATGAGTAAAGTAAGTAAACAAGCGACAGGGGAATACATAATATTATATCGGAAAACATAACTTTCAGATAATCATTTACTTTAATATATACGTATTTTTGAATGCTTTGTAATCACCTCCGTGTTTTTATGTTCCTTGTAAAAAAATGAATATTCACATTAAAAATTACAATATTCAAGCGAGGGTGAACATGTTGTCTAACTCAAACGAATCACATCCTCGGAGGACATAGCTGGAAACATTGAAAATTGCTTTGTTACCGCCCAATTAAAAACAATATTATATCTGAAGTACTTAACATTTCCAACTAAAATTATTATATGTACAGTGCGCAAAAAAATATAAACGAACCACCCAAAATAACTTTTATAATAATAGGATCTTTATGTTCTACGACTCAATCTGAATGGTTCGAGGGGGTGACCTCAAATATGCTAATTAATTCGTGGGGACGATCTTTTTACGCTAAGAAATCAGACACAAAAACATACCTTTCTTTCGATATATTCGGATTTCTGACTCCCAAATTCTCAGTAACTATTCGACCGATTTCGTTCAAATTTTGTATTTTTCCATTTAAAACGATATAAAAAAATTTTGTACTTTTTCGACTATTATGAGAGAATAAAAAACGTTTTGTAAAAGTTATATTTTGCATTGAATTATGTTTGGATAAACAATTTTTATAATTATGTGCAAAAATTTTTAAATTCACTTAAAAAGTTCTTGAGATATGGTGAAATACGCAAAAGTAAAATTAACATTAAGGAATCCAAACTATTGGTACCATGTTTCCCAAGATTGCACCTATTCCCTATATTTTGGATGTCAAAAATCGGAATCCAATGACCATTCGAGTCCTGGAATAAGAAGATCCGATCATTACATCAAAAGTTATTCAGGGTAGTCTGATTTTTATTTTGCGCACTGTACAATTATATTAAACTAATCGCAGAAAGAAAATCTTAATTGTTCATATTCAAGGTCAATACCTTTATGATTTTGTAATGACAATTTATCAAATATCAAATGAAATAAAAATTTAATTTAGATCAGGAAATATAAAAAAATTTATAATAAATTTTACTAAATTCTTCTTAACAGAGTAATAATTTTAAATCATTTATGCACATAAACTATATATTTAATAAGTTTTAAAAGCATTTGTATTTTTAAAAAAAAGTAAAAAACTAAATTGGTATAGTTAAAATATGTTATTAAATTGTAAATTGTTTATTTACAATTTATAGAGAAATAAAAAGTTATAATTTAAAAGTATCAAATCACTTAAATCCAAATTTTTATTCTTCCCCTGTTTTAAACGTGCAATATCTTCTTATAATTCTCTAGATTCTTTGGATAAAACTTCCAGTACCAACGAAATCAGACTTTTAAAAATATACCTGTCTTAATATATTATCCAGACTTTTTACTTAAATCTATGTTCCTTTTATATAAAAAATTCAACAGATTTAACCAATGGTTTTTATTAAAATTCAAGCAATTTAAAAGAAATGATTTAAATTGCGCTAACCCTACATAATTTTAATGAATATTTTTTTACCATATTTTGTCAGCACCATATCCGGTTATCAATATTTAACGACTGAATGAATAATTTTGCTTAAAATTAGAATGTTTCAACTACAAAGTATAAAGCAACTTAAACATTAATAACTCTTTCATATTTAAATATAACCTTGAGGAAGATCTTTTAAGGTACTGCTAAAATCAAGGTGATAGCAATTTGTAGACTATGTAATTGCTGGTTTTCAGTCAAGCGATGATAAATTACAGCATAGATATTTATTTCTATACTTAGAAATCACGCGAATAAATAGAACAAAGATCGTTTTTAAATTTTAGCTAAAATACTTGGCCCTCTAGGTGTCTCAAAAACTAAATAAAAATGTGTGGATTTCATTTGCCTGCAGAGTATCTCAAAAACTAAATTGTGTGGAATTTATTTGCCTGCAGAGTGTCTCAAAAACTAAATTGTGTGAAATTCATTTGCCTGCAGAGTGTCTTAAGAACTATATCAAAATGTGTGGAATTCATTTGCCTACAGGATATCTCAAAAACTAAATTCAAAAGTAGGAAATTCATTATGAATTACACTTCACTTATGAAACGAACCTCATTTTTTAACTACTCATAGATTATAAGTAATCTTATTAGTACAATTATATTTAAACCTAACATTCTAAAAAAATGGTCCTCTTTAGAGGAAAACTTAAATATCCTCCTCTTAGTAAATGGTAAAAAGTTGCAAGACTTCGCGCATCGGATTATTGTGGAAAAATTTCACTATTGCTATCCAGATAAATGAGGTACTATTTCCGAATAAATTTTTTTTGCACAGAATCGATTGAGACTGAGTTTGAAACGATAGTTTAGAAATTATAGTGGCTTTATGTACGAACAATGTATGGCTTATATTTGTTTAAGAATCTAAAATTGCTGTTTAGACGAATGAAGTATTTTTTTCTATATTTTTATTCGTGCTGAATCGAATGATGCAATCATTAATATTACGATAATTTAATAAAACCATAATCGCTTAG